ATTGGAACTGTATCTCCATCACATAAATGAGGCTTTAAAAAATTATTTTATGAATGTATGTTACACACTGCTGGAGTAAGCCATGTTTCTGTGTCATTTTAATTATATTTTTCTTTTTTCAAAAAAAAAAGCCTTCATATTAAAAACTAAATGGGATTTGAGGGATTTTGTTATAGTAATGTCTCTTAATTCTTGCGAACTTTTTCTGAGTTATCTGCCTAAATGCATACTGGTCAGAACACATCACTATGTATCAACTGACATCACTTGGGAACTCCTGTAATTTTGCTAAAAGTGGAAAAAATCAAAAAACAAAAAAAAAGGAGCCACCTAAGTTGCAACAAAAAGCCTTGTCACCCAGCTATTCCATTCATTCCCTTTTCCAGCTTTGCTAGAACCAATATTTTGCATCAGTTCCCCACTGGGCATGCCAGAGGTCTTCCAGCAGGCAGAGTACAATGGTGAGCTCAGAGATGCTTGGGCGATCAAAGATAGATGACAGAAGACCAACTGTGAAGGAGAGGGGACAGGAGATCCTGCAGACTGCAGGCCGGCTCTCAGGCAGATCAGCTTTAGGGAAAAGTATTTTTGGGAGCTGGGATATAGAAAAGAACTGTCCTTGTAACTGTCTTTATACAGGGTTCATGGGTGTGTGTGTATCAGTTGGAAGACCCCAGCCAGATGATTCTGCGTGCATAGTCCCTGATCCTAGGAATCTGCTGGTAAGCCTGCAGCAGTTATCTCAGGAGAAAAACAAAGGCCAGAGAATACACTCAAGGCAATCCAGAGAGGATCAAAGGCTGAACAGGATGGTGGCCAGCACAGCACTTACATAAGGGGCAGCGGATAGACTGGAACTGAGAAAGAGGGTGGGTGTCTGTCTATAGCAAGCCTATTCTAACGTGGACTCACCTATTTCCCACAAGCCTCACTTTTCTAAAAACGATCCCATTGAGAAACACAGCACAAAGTGTGGATAATTATTTCCCTCTGTCACAGATGGCATATTTACTCAATAGAGTAATAATTAGTCTGATATTAGTGTTGCAGCAATCAATGTATATAAGAGAACACACAACCAAAATTCTGTGTGACTTAACTTAGAAATTCATAATTAGAGCCAGTGGAGTTACAAAATACAGAAATATCTACCAACATAAAAAACATTCCTGCTTGCTTTAGGATTCAAATACACTAGAAAAGGATAACTTTTTTTTTGAGACAGGGTCTGGCTCTATCACCCAGGCTGGTGTGCAGTGGCGTGATCTCGGCTCACTCCTCCGTGTTCAAGCAATTCTTCTGCCTCAGCCTCCCAAGTAGCTGGGACTACAGATGCGTGCCACCACGTCTGGCTAATTTTTTTGCAGTTTTAGTAAAGATGGGGTTTTGCCATGTTGGCCAGGCTGGTCTCAAACACCTGACTTCGGATGATCTGCCTGCCTCGGCCTCCCAAAGTGCTGGAATTACAGGCATAAGCCACCGCACCCGGCCCAAGAATAACTTTTTAAAAGAAAAAAGAAAAAGGGAAAAAAAATCTAAGTTCCTCTGAGACTGCATGCTCCTTCACTTCAGGAGGGGTTAACGCATAAGCCCAGTGGGGAGCTCCATTTTCTGTAACTGCTAAGATTATCCCACCATGGAGTCTGAGAAGATAAACACAACAACAGGAAAAAAAATTAAAATATAAAACAACCCTCCCACTCCTATGAGCAGGGAAGGAGTGGAAGGAACCATAAACCTAAACAGCAGCCTTCCTCTTGCAGGTTTCAATATGATGCCATCCTCAAGCAAAATTAAATGTCATCCTAGACTGGAGCTGCTCCAGGGTCAGCCTTCATGACCCCATATTTTACAGTGTATAAGTCAGGTTAAGCAACAGACCTGAAAAAGCCCGTTTTCTCCCTTTTTGCTGTTTCTCTTAGTTCTCTCTAAACAATTAGATTTTATTAGAAACAACCTTCAGCACAGCACACTGACTCTTACAAACAAGGAAAAAGAAAAAGCAAGAAAAATCTTAGAATGGGGATTTTGCAACTTTTTTTTTTTTTTTTTTTTTTTTTTTTTTGGGAGACAGAGTTTCACTCTGGTCACCTAGGCTGGAGTGCAATGGCGTGATCTCGGCTCACTGCAACCTCCGCCTCCTGGGTTCAAGCAATTCTCCTGCCTCAGCCTCCCAAGTAGCTGGGACTAAAGGCACACACCACCATGCCCAGCTAATTTTTGTATTTTTAGTAGAGACGGGGTTTCACCATGTTGACCAGGAGGGTCTCGATATCTTGACCTCATGATCCACCCGCCTCGGCCTCCCAAAATGCTGGGATTACAGGCATGAGCCACCGCGCCCCACCTGCAACTTAAAAAAATCATTTGTTTTAAAGATGAAGAAATTGAGTCTGAAGAAGGTAAATGTTTGCTCACTGCCACACTACAATGGCCCTGGGCAGAAGATGCCCCTTCGAAAGCCAGCGTGCTCATCCTCCACAGCAGGGCTCCAGGGCCCCCTCCTAGTTTTACTCCGCCTTGTTCCTCTGGCCTTCTCTCAGTACTCTGCTGTGCTAAGCACCCTCCCACTTCAGGGTCCCTGATACACCCTTCCTTTACCTGGACAACTGTTCTCCTACCCTTACCTTCATCTTGGCCACACCTACTGCTCTTTGAGTTCTTAAATGTCATTCCTTCACAGCCAACCATTCTTGACCCTCCAAATTAGGTCAGTCCCCTGACAGGCACTCTCATGTTACTACATTTCTTCATAACTAATCATTTGTTTAATGTATCTCTCTCCATAGACCTGTGAGGCCCAAGAACACTTAAACCTGTATGTTCTTGTTCATCTTTATAAGGAACTGCTCAGGAAATGGAACATGGTAAGTGCCTATTCAGTACCTGTAGATAAACTTAATGAGAATAATAAACTACATGTCAGATATTGCTTTCGGGGTATTACATATTCCATTCATTGAATCCCCAACCTAAACTCTGTGAGGTTGGTAATAGTATTATTACTGTGTTACAGATGAAGAAACTGAGACATAGTGCATTTCAAAAACTACACTAAGACCATACAGTTCCTAAATGGAAGGATTGTTTAAAATATATACAATGTAGCACTGGGAATCATTGATGGTAGCAGCTTTATGAATAGTCATGCAGACCTACACAAGGCAATAATCAATGCTTTGAAAGCTCTTAAGGAGAAAGCCTATTAATATAATGGGCCCTATTCTAGGGCACTATGTGGGCATTTTCTAAAAGCACTTCATAACAGACTATCACTCATGTTCCAGTAACAATCATCTCTAACACCACAGTGGCTAACAAAACGTTTGTCTTGCTCATGGTGAATGCTGGTTGTGGCTCTGCTCCAGGTCTTGTTTAAGCTAGGACCCAGGCTGAGAGAGCAGCCCCTGTATGAACTATGCCCTTCTCACAAATGGGAAAGCAAGAGAGATGGTGACACCATGTAGTGGCTCCTAAAGATTCAGCTCAGTGGTGGCACAAGTCATCAACACTAGTGTTAAGTCAGCAGCCCAGAGCTCATGATCTTTTCTTCCGAAGTTCCCCAGCACAGTTAGAAGCAACAAACTAATGCCATTAAATTCCTTATTGTCACTAAAATGTTCTAAAGCAGCAACACTAGGTTACTCAGGGCCCTGACTTCCCCCGGCATTTGATTACAAGTTTCCAAAGATGATAATTTGAGTAACTCTGCCATTACACACTATAATTCTCTATAGCTGTTTTAATCCCCTCTCTACATAATGTTTTTACTTATACAATCTTTGCCCAACTGAAAAACCCCTGTTGGGGAATTCAACCCAAATTCTCATAGAGTTACAGCGGACAGAACCTCTTCTATCTTACCTTTGAAAGAGGTGATGACAGGGAAGGAACAAAATCTATCCAACAAATGCCACCTTGTCGTGCACACAGACAGACTCATGTGCTACATATGACATTTCAGTCAATGACAAATGGCATATCCCATGGTGGTGCCGTAAGATTATAATGCCAATATTTTGGCTGTGTCTTTTCTGTGTTTAGATATACAAATATTTACCATTGTGTGACAACTGCCTACCATACTCAGTACAATAGCATGCTGTACAGATATGTAGCCTAGGAGTAATAGACTATACCATATAGCCTAGGTATATATTAGTCTATGCCATCAGGGTGTGCACAGGCACACTCTATGATGTTTGCACACTGACAAAACTGCCTAATGATGCACTTCTCAGAAGGCATCCTCATTGTTAAGCAATGCACATTGAATATATCTAATCCAAAGGTCCAAAGTCCAAAATGTTCCAAAGTTTGAAACTTTCTAAGTGCCAACAAAACACTCAGAGGAAATGCTCATTGGAGCACTTCCGATCTTGGATTTACACACTAGGAATAATCAACCGATTAAGTATATAATGCAAGTATTACAAAATCCAAAAACTGAAACATTTCTGGTGCCAATAATTTTGGATAAGGGATACTCAACCTCAATGTGTATATGAGTATACGTGTGTGAGTCGAAATTCTGACTCAGAATGGGGAGGAAATGTTCCTAAACTGTTGAGTACATCCAGGCTTATGAACACTGAGGACTCTACTTACTAGATAAATAATGAAAAACTGCAAGCACTTCATAAAAGTAGATAATAGGGAAACCGCAGGTCCATCCCTGCTGGAGACCGAAACATAAACAATGGCTCTTAATGTCAATAATAAACAAAGAAAAAGTCCTTAATGCTTGGTACTGTATTTTATCATTTCTCCTAAATCTGACAATTTCCTTTTTTTTTGCATACAACTGGATCATTAATTCTACTGAACAAAAGACCTAAGTTCCTTTTGTCAGCTCTGTGTTTTACTACTGCAAATGCTTGACAAAATTGTCTGCTTCATTGTTTATTCCCTGGAGATCTTCCTGCCCTCAAGGAAGCAGCTCTAAAGCAGTGTAGGATCTGGAGCCAAGCGAGACAGCAAGAGAGCGCAGTAGGTTTGAGATGAAGTGTCAAGTCAGCAGACAAATGCCAGCTGAGGGAGCAAAGAAAGACTCTAGACAGGAAAGTACTGCCTGCAGACCCATGAAGGCAACCTGGAACTCACTAACAGGATGCAATCGGAGCTCTGTATCTGCATATGGCTACTCAAAAAGCCATATCCCTTCCATCATCAGCCCTGGTGAGGACCCAAACTGAAAGGCTCTAGAAGATCCAGTGATGGTTTCTGGCATCATTCTTAATGGGGTTCCTTCACCCCTAGTGTCTTATCTTGGTCACAGTATTAATAACAATGCCTGCTTGGGTTCTCTGTATAACTCCCACTGAATCCTACTTGCTAAAGATTCTGAAATGAAACTCAGGAGGAACACACATTACTCCTAATGGGCCTTTTGGTCTGAGTCTCTCTGTACCACTCTGGTGGACCAAGGTAGAAAAAAACCTTCTAATGCCCATTCCGGGATGATTCATTCATAATTTAAGCCTTTCCCAAGTATGAACTCAGGCCCCATGTGAGGCTCTAGTGACACAAACAAGTCAGAGTCCCTACCCTGGGGGCATGGCAGAATCTCTAGAGAAGTTGGTTTCAGAAGGATTTATTTGATGACTTTGTTCTCAGAGCCACCGAGATGCTTTCACAGGGTCAAAGGCCAGGCTAAGTGGAAGATACCTGATATCTAGATATCAACCATCAAAACAGGTTTCTAAAAAGTCTCTGTTAGCTGGCAATTAGCTCTCTAGGTTCCTGCTCTGATTTCTAAAGGAGCACAAGAGATGTATAATGTTCATTCTGTCCCTTGCATTTCGGAGGTAATATATGCCTTTCCGTACCAGCACCTGGTCTACCTTCTACTATTAGCCTCTCTGAACTCATCTCTAAGGCTTCAGACACATGCTTTGCAAACACTGAAATTCCAAGGATTCCTTTCAGCAACATGAACATTTCCTCCTGCAGTGTCATTATTCTACTTCCAGATTTCCCCATTATCCCCACAGGCTCTGGGCTCATGAGGTGTTTAATGTTTCTCCACAGAAATGCCAGGTGTGATTCTGGCATTTACGGTTGCCAAGATCTTCAAAGTGGAATACCAGGAACACACTACTGGAGACACTTTCAGTCAATGGGTCAGTCCTACCTGTGACATCAGATGATTTTTACTTATTCAACCGGAGGACAATAGCACAGGGGTCCACTGCTGTTCCCCACTTGCAGTGAGTTGGGTATGCTGGATGGGGCACCAGTAGGAATACTTCCCTAAAGTTATTTAAAGCTCTGTGCACTCCAGTCTTGCCAAATCATAAAATTAGAAAATTGCATTCAGACAGACTAAATTCTTCCCTTAGTGCTTTAGGCACCTAGTTATTCTTCAATTTCTTTCCCACAAACACTTGGCCCAGGTCCCGAAGTCCACCCCATATCTGTGTGTCTCCCTGGCACATAAAAGAGATTCAGGGAAGGAGACGGAGCAATAAAACTTCAGGTTTACTGGCAGCATTAAGTGAAGTAATCCCCCTACACATACACTTTTCTTACAGGAGATCAGTTATTCAACCTTTCCATTCACCTGCCTGATGTAAATCTACAAATATTTTAAGAGGGTAATTTGGAAGACTTACAATAGCAGAAGTTGTTCAAGCTATAGCATTAGTCTCTGTCATGTGCCTTAGGTTTGCCCACACTATTAGTTCATTTACACAAGTGAACCACTAAGGGCCTGTTCATTAATCAGGTCAACCGAGATCCATTTAAACTACTTGCTAAGAGCTCTCTTTTATATACTAGTGGTCAGTGAATATTTTTGCTTACAATTCCCCAAAAGCATTCTGGAAGACTACATCTCTCCTTGAATGTTAAAGCTGAGATTTATGGGGTTGTACTGTTTTTAACTGTAAGGTGAAACAGATGCAAAAGGATATTATTTCACAGCATAAAATTCCAGGATATAATTATATGTGTGCTTTAAATATATTTTTTGTCAAACTTTGAGACAGCAGATCAAGTCCAATTTATGTGAAGTATCTGCCCCACATATAAAACCCAACAGACAAAGGCAGTCCTCATTATCAAAGCAATCTGCCAAAACAGGCATACTTTTATCAGAAAAAGTCTGAATTCATTCTTCAATTCAAATAAATGTATTAATACACATTCCCATATCAAGCATGTCACTTCCGAATTCTAAGAGAAATAATCAACAGTGAACAAAAGACAGTCCCAACTATACAATGGCTTAAACACAATAGAACTTCATTTCTTGCTCAAATAACAGTACTGGGCTGGCAAGTAGTTCAGAGACGTAGCTCTCCTCCATAGCCATTTAGGGGCCTAAGCTGACAAACTGTTGCGATCTCAACATTTGGGCTCTACGGTCTCTTTGCAGGTCAACTCCATACCACAAAAAAAGGAAGGAGAACACATGGAGGTTATTTAGGAGCCAAACCTGAGAATAATATATTTCACTTCTGCTCCCATATCTATGGCTCTGCTCCTACCAGTAAGGAAGGCTGGGTACTGTGGACTAGCTGTGGACCAAGAAGACACTATGGGCTTGAGGAAGCACCTAGTGAATAAGGTACATGAATTTTGCAATAAATGCATGGCCTAGATGAAGTGCCATATTTTTCAGGATTTATTACCTAAACCATCTCTACTTTGCTCTTTCGAGACTTGCCCTCAAAGCCTGTACCTTTATCTGTTGACCTGGGTGTGATGCATTTATTCTGTAAAGCAAAAAAAGTTGTGGGAAAGGAGAACCAGCAGCCCCTTCCAAGGTTTACTCTCATGCAGATCAAGTTTGGGAAAGAGTACATGTTAAAAGTTGAGGGCCTGAAAATTTATCCTCTGAGAAATATCACTGCATTGTACTTCTTGGAAAGTCTTCATTTAACCCTGGAGTACACAGATCCTAGTTTAGGAATCTCTGTTATATAAAGTATTACAAAACATAGAAAATTACAGAATTCTAATATGCAGTTTCTAAGTGCCATTTACATAGGTGAAAAGTGAGGTAAAGGGCAGTTTGTTCAAAGTCACTCTTAGGATGGGTGCAGTGGCTCACACCTCTAATCCTAGCACTTTGGGAGGCCGAGGTGGGCAGATCACATGAGGCCAGGAGTTCAAGACCAGCCTGGCCAACATGGCAAAACCCTGTCTCTACTAAAAATAAAAGATTAGTTGGGAGTGGTGATGCCTGCCTGTAGTCCTAGCTAGTTGGGAGGTTGAAGTAGGAGAATCACTTGAACTAGGAGATGGAGGTTGCAGTGAGCTAAGACTGAGCTACTACATTCCAGCCTGGGTGACACTGTGTGACTCTGTCTTAAAAACAAACAAAATCCACTCTTGTAGCAATTAATATATATAATAGGGCTATTCTTTACTCCAACAAACTTATTTTGGCCTTTAGCACTAAAGAATATTTCTAGCTTTTTATTACACGTTGCATAGAAGAGTTAATACAGCAGTCCTGAAACTGCTATCCCTTTAAAGTACTGCTTCCAAAGTTGGCCCTTGGCAGACATACAGGAACTTGAACTTCAGGAAGCTTCCCACCATTCATTGATAAGAATGGCTCACTGTACCGAAACTATATTAACAATATGATTTATGCTGAATCTGTTAACTTGCTTTTCTTCTGGGAGTCTGGAATTTTGGTACATGCTAGGCAGAGGGTGCCTATATGATCAGCCCTCAATAAAAACCTGGGCACTGATGAAAGAGCAGATTTTGCTTTGTATCCTTTCACTGCAATAAATCTTAGCTGTGAGTACAACTACACACTGTATCCTGTGAATTCTCCCAGTGAATCATCCAATCATAGGGTTGCTCTTGGTCACCTCCTGTATACGTGTAAATGACATCTGACAATAAATTACACCTGACAGATAAGTACAGATTGATTCCAGGATATTAAGAACACAGTAAATATAGAAATTTTAGTACAATTGTATTTAAGTTATTGTTTTGGATATGAGACCACTAGAAAAGAATGAACGTAATTTATATTCAAGTTAATTAAGCTGTGGACCTTTAAAATGCAAGACAATAATGGAAATCATATAAAATACAGATCTTGGGCTTGGCTAGCAAGTAAAACAAGGATTCTCTGATAATTACTACTAAAGATATCAGTAAGATTCTCTGATAATTACTACTAAAGATATCAGTAGAGAACCTTCCATGTTGAAGAGAACCATTAAGGAGAACATGAACACAGAATTGTGAACATTAATAAGAAAACCGTGTCCAACATTTTAAAGAAAGAAAAAGAAAAGAAAAGAAAACCCAGAGAGTCTGTGTTGAAGACAAAAAAAGGAAACCTAGGAACAATTTCTCTGCTACAAGCTGTGCCCATGTCCATCCTACTGGGGTCACTAAGTAAACTCATATAGAAAACGAAGGTGTTGAATTGTGTTCGCAGCTGCCGCCGCGCCACCGCGCCACCGCTGCCTCTCGCTCGCCGAGCTCCAGCCGAAGTAGAAGTGGGGTAAGTAAGGAGGTCTCTATACCACGGCTCGTACAAAGCAGACTGCCCACAAATCTACCGGTGGTAAAGCACCCAGGAAGCAACTGGCTACAAAAGCCGCTCGCAAGAGTGCACCCTCTACTGGAGGGGTGAAGAAACCTCATCGTCACAGGCCTGGTACTGTGGCCCTCCATGAAATTAGACGTTATCAGAAGTCCACTGAAATTCTGATTCGCAAACTTCCCTTCCAGCGTCTGGTGCGAGAATTTGCTCAGGACTTTAAAACAGATCTGTGCTTCCAGAGAGCAGCTATTGGTGCTATGCAGGAGGCAAGTGAGGCCTATCTGGTTGGCCTTTTTGAAGACACCAACCTTTGTGCTATCCATTACAAATGTGTAACAATTATGCCAAAAGACATCCAGCTAGCATGCCACATACATGGAGAGCGTGCTTAAGAATCCACTATGGCCGGGCAAGGTGGCTCAAGCCTGTAATCCCAGCACTTTGGGAGGCTGAGGTGGGTGGATCACGAGGTCGAGAGATCGAGACCATCCTGGTCAACATGGTGAAACCCCGTCTCTACTAAAAATACAAAAAATTAGCTGGGCATGGTGGTGCGTGCCTGTAATCCCAGCTACTCAGGAGGCTCAGGCAGGAGAATTGCCTGAACCCAGGAGGCAGAGATTGAGGTGAGCCAAAATCGCACCATTGCACTCCAGCCTGGGTAACAGGAGCGAAACTCCGCCCCCTCCAAAAAAAAAAAAGAATCCACTATGATGGGAAACATTTCATTCTCAAAAAAAACTAAAAATTCTCTTCTTCCTGTTACTGGTAGTTCTGAATGTTAGATAACTTTTTTTCCATGGGGTCAGAAGGTACCTAAGTATATGATTGCGAGTGGAAAAATAGGGGACAGAAATCAGGTATTGGCAGTTTTTCCATTTTCATTTGTGTGTGAATTTTTAATATAAATGCGGAGACATAAAGCATTAATGCAAGTTAAAATGTTTCAGTGAACAAGTTTCGGCGGTTCAACTTTATAATAATTATAAATAAACCTGTTAATTTTTTTCTGGACAATGCCAGCATTTGGATTTTTTTAAAACAAGTAAATTTCTTATTGACGGCAACTAAATGGTGTTTGTAGCATTTTTATCATACAGTTGATTTCATCCATTCACTATACTTTTCTAACTGAGTTGTCCTACATGCAAGTACATGTTTTTAATGTTGTCTGTCTTCTGTGCTGTTCCTGTAAGTTTGCTATTAAAATACATTTAAAAACTAAGGTGTTTAAATAACATTTTCTCTGATTTAATATTTTACTTTTTACCCCACTGATTTTACAAGCTATACAAAGCTTCCTATAGAAAAGGTGCAAATTAAACCACAGCATGTATAATTTTTTTTTTTTTTTTTTTTAGATGGAGTTTCGCTCTTGTTACCCAGGCTGGAGTGCAATGGCGCGATCTCGGCTCACCGCAACCTCCGCCGCCTGGGTTCTGGCAATTCTCCTGCCTCAGCCTCCTGAGTAGCTGGGATTACAGGCACGCGCGACCATGCCCACATAATTTTTTGTATTTTTAGTAGAGACGGGGTTTCACCATGATGACCAGGATGGTCTCGATCTCTTGACCTCGTGATCCACCCGCCTCGGCCTCCCAAACTGCTGGGATTACAGGCTTGGCACCCGGCCATAAATTATTTTTTTTTAAAAAGCACCCAATATCCTGTCATCCAGAGACAACCACAGTATGGCATATTTCTTGAGTCTTCTCCCAATGCATTAGAAAAGAAAAAAATTGGGAACATTCTAAATATAATTTCCCTTTAATTTTTTTCATCAAACCTTGATTTTTAAAGAATTATTAGAAATATGAATTAAACAGCCAAGTTGATCAACTTTCCTTTAATTGTGCTGGAGATCCTCACATGTGGAACCTGGGGGTCTCTGAGCCCAGAACCTAAACATCTGTTGGCCAAGACACCTGACAGACCTAAGGTAAGAGGGTGACTATGTGTTTCCTGCCATGACTCAGACATGCCATTATTTGACAAATATACAGAAATGACATAGAAGTCTTTCTCTACAGAGTGACTGGTCTGCAAGTTGAAAATGTGGCGCATGCGCTGTGTTGCCTCGATGGCTAACTTACATTGTGAAGTCCAGGCAATAATGATGAGAGACTCAGGATTGATGAGGCAGCTTAAAATGCCTGCGAGTCACAGACCTCCCACTTCTCTCAACACCACCATATTCCAGAGGCAGTACAGCCAGCAAAATGGTTGAGCAGATCTGTCATTTAGTGCTAAAGAGTAAGCTATCCTATTTGATATTTACTTTTTGTTCAGCCGTGGTTGAGGGCAGGGGCACAGGATGACAACAATTGTATGTCCCAAGCAATGTAAATATGCAAATCCAACTACAAGCGCTAATCCAAGAGCCATGCAAATGGCATCTTTAATTCCCCATATTGTAGGTGTTTCATCTTGAATGCCAATGATCTCTCTTCTCACAGCATGTGTGATACCATGAGCTTCAGCAACAGGTCCATTCTCAACAACTGTCAGCACAGTGGCCACCCTGTTTTCAATAGTATATATCACCCGGACAGAACTCTAAAGAATGAGTGAGAATTTTCACCTAAACTTAATACAAGTTCGGTTGCTTTGTTGTGCAGCAAGAAGGCAGGATTCAGGCTGAGAGACAGAGAGTAGATTCTTTTAGAAATAAGCCTCTGCGCCTGTGATATGCTATAGAAAAATGGTACAACTTCTGAGACTCCTATTGCAATGCCTCCATGCTACAGAAGACAACCTCAGGATGTATCCAAATCATTAACCTGATGCACCTCGGAAAGCTTCTGATTCCAATGACAATTTTTGAGGCTGTAATAGACATGTTGGACTAAATCACAAAGGGAAAGGGAAACTCTAGGATACAAAAAGTACATTAATCAAAAGAAGTTGTTTTACCCAAATAGGAAGTCAACGAATGAAATTTAAAATAATTAAACACAAAGGTATGAGGATCAAGAGGAAAATGACAGGTACATAGGGGAAAGTCCACGGTCTGACTCAATCAGGAGCTCAGGTTATTGCAACCTCATCCTAAAGATGCTGGCTGCTCCCATCGAGGATGAGAAACAGCATCCCAAACAGTAGCAGAGGGGATGTAATTTCCCTACTGAGTTGAGGTTTTCACAGTGAGCCTTCATTGTTATTACTGTTGCTGCTGTTATTGTTGCTATGTCTAGATTCCCAGCCTTCCCTGAAAAAGACAATGTACTGCAAATTTTAGAAGTCCAATACGCCAGATTTTAATAAATTATTGTGAAAATAGCATGGGCTTTAGCAGGAGACAAACTAATTCAATCCCAGCTCAGATACTTCCCATATGCATTCCCTGAATGAACTTTTGACCATTTGTTTCCTTAAAATCATCTCTAAGTTTCCAGTAAAAATGGTTTGAAATTATGCTTAGCATAAAGTATCCCAAAAGGAAGATTTGGGGTTTTCTTCCTTCTGTTGTTTTTGCTGTTGTTTTATTACAGAAGGATGTCCAGAACCAGGCCTGGCAAAGAAGAGACTGAAATACCAAATGTATACAGAAGTGTGGAGGATCACAAGGATAACACATGTGATGGCACCAGGGACAGCAGTCAGTGCAAAGCTCACATGCCATAAATGCTCGTTATCCCATAAGCCCTTGTTGCTACTGTTCTTCTATATGACTGAGGAAAAGGGAGGGTTGATTTACTTGAGAATAAACAAATTATCACACCCAAGATTCAAATTCTCACCCAAATAAAAATCCTCAGAAATGGATCAAGCCATTGTACTCCAGCCTGGGTGACAAGGGTAAAACTCTGTCTCAAAAAGAGAAAAAAAATCCTCAGAATGATTAAAGAGTATGCCCAAGAGATGGAGTCTCCCTCTTTCTTCACCAGCTTGTCCTTAGTGTTGCTGTAATAGAATACCTGAGACTGGGTAGTTTATGAAGAAAAGAGCTTTATTTAGCTCAAGATTCTGCTGGCTGGAAGGTTCAAGATTAGGCATTTCCATGTGGTGAGGGCCTCAGGCTGCTTCAACTCACTGTGGAAAACAGAAGCAGGGTGGAAATGCAAAGAGATCACACGGTAAGAGAGGATATGAGAGAGAAACCGAGAAACCAGACTCTCACAACACACTCTCCCAGGAGCTAACTTATGCCCTCAGTGAGAACTTACTGAACCCATGCAGAAGGGTATTCATCCATTCATCCATTCATGAGGGATCCACCCTGGAGACTCAAACACCCCCACTGGGTCGCACCCCCCAACACTGCCACACTGGTAATCAAATTACAACGTGAATTTTGGCACAAACAAAGCCAACCAGGGAAGATGAAATAGGTCAGTTGAACTTAAAACAAACCATTAACTGAGAACAGACAGAATGGATTACCAGTCATTTTACTACATGTAAAGTGGTATTATGCTCTGAGATCTGTTCTGTGGGATGCTGACAAAACAACCAAGTGCAGAAATGTCTGGCTGACAGTTGGGATGCTTTCTGCTGGGGTCCAATTGGGGAGAAAGTTGTTTCATATCCCTACTTTTGCTCAAAAAATTGGGAACTCTGTTTATTGCTTTTCATATACAAACTAAGGAGTATATCATTCTCAAGGATGGAAATCATACATTCACTGGGGATGACAGAAGATCTTGTCAGACCTTCTGAGACCTTTGTAAATTCCTAAATTCATGATGACCAAATAGAACACATTTCTTTTCATGTAAAATGTGTATTCAGATATACAGAAATAAAAAGGTTGTATCAGTATGTCCATGCTGAATGGGCAGCTAGGCTCCCTCATTATCTTAGTAATGCCCTATACAGCAGCTACAAAAGGCTCAGCGAAACAACTAATTTCATGATCTAGTCATTTAGGGTTACTAGCAAGTAATTAAAACTGCAAATAGTATATAGGTAAATTGTTAAATGTGAATTTAATAAGATGTCTGGAATACTGCAAAAATATATGCATACCTTTATATTATAAAGACAGTCCTGTGGACTTGATCAAGACTTGCTGCTAAAATGAAAAATAAAGTGGTCAAATATTATTTATACGTGACTTTCTAAACCAGAGTTTTCATTCTGATTAAGAGTCAACAATAGATTATATAAAAACTGCTCAGCAGCGCCGAGGCGGTGGCTCATGCCTGTAATCCCAGAAGTTTGGGAGGCCAAGGTAGGTGGATCATTCGAGGTCAGGAGCTCAAGACCACCCTGGCCAACATGGTGAAACCTCATCTCTACTAAAAAACACACAAAAATATTACTCATGCATTTGGTACATGCCTATAATACCGGCTACTTGGGAGGCTGAGGCAAGAGAATTGTTTGAACCCAAGAGGCAGCAGCTGCAGAGATCTGAGATTACATCAGTGCACTCTAGCCTAGGTGACAG